CAGTCTTGGCCTGCTTTTGTTCGCCACTACCGAATACTTGGCTGAATATCACAGTTATAGTGTAGTTCGCTGCGGACGGTTGGGCGTGTCAGGCGGGATGAGTTTGGCGCGGTGCCACCCGTTCTCCACCAGTTGTTAAAGCGAGCAAGTGATATGACTGTATCATATCGTTCGTATTACTCGTTTTCTACCACTTTTTGTCGCATGCGCACTTCAACAAGAAGGCAGAGGACGATATATTCAGACTGGTTGCCATTCCCAAGCCTCTCGGAGGTGTTCTAGTACTTGGATCAAATGAAGTGATTTATTTGAACCAATCCGTTCCTCCATGTGGAATAAGTCTCAACAGCTGTTATGACAACTTTACGAAGTTTCCTTTGAAGGTGGGTGATTGCTATGGGCGGAACATTGAGAAATCATTTCTCACGCCCGTATGGTCCTGTTCTCTTAATATGATGGAGAGCCATCTGCAATTCAGGACTTAAAGCATATGTCGATGACGTTGGACGCTGGTCCTGCTGAATGGATTGGAAATAATCGAGTAGCATTGGGAACTATGGATGGGAGACTGTTTATCTTGACTTTGGTGACGGATTCTTCTGAAACTGTCAGATCGATGACTCTAGAACACGTTTTCGGTGAGTCTTAGAAGTTAACTTGTCATTTGCAATATTGCTCAGCAGTCTTACTACACTACTTCTTTCTACTAAAGTTCTGTATTTCATGTCTGACTTTGCAGACACGTCGATTGCTTACTGTATGACCTTATGCGCCCCAGGACGTCTTTTTATTGGCTCAAGACTTGGAGATTCACAACTTCTGGGGTTTTCTGTAGAGAAGGAGGAAGCAGGTATCACTGTAGCTCATTTGTTTGTGGTTATAGAGTGTCAATTAATAGAAATAGAAGACATAAATTCTATCGGGTGTCAATTAGAGTGTAGTTAGTCTTCACCGAGACATACTTTTCTACAACAGTAGAGTTGAAGCTGCTACATGTGCATTTCAGCAGAAGACCCATCTCAAGAGGCCAAGAAGCCCAAGGTTGATTTGACTATAAAACCGGATGACGATGACATAGAACTGTATGGAGAGCAAATCATTGAACAAGTGGTAGGAATGTATATGGTTTTCTAGTTATCTTTTTGATTTGTTTTTTTTAATGTCTTGCTGGCAGTGCCAGATCTCTTTGATCAGGACACTTTTTAGGCAGCGCTGGCATCAGAATACAAAGAAAAGATAGTCTTCCGGGAGTTGGATAAATTAACCAATATAGGACCGATCAAGGCGATGACTGCAGGCGGAGCTCATGGACTGGGCCCTATTCTTCAGGAACAGGAGCGAACCGATCCTGTATTTGACGTCGTATGTGTTCAATAAGCTTACCATTTGTTAGCGAATTCTCACTAGTTCACTAGCATTTTCTCAATTTTTGATTGGTTCAGATAACGGCATCGGGAAATATGGTCAACGGATCGATTTGTGTCCTTCAGAGAACTGTGCGGCCGGATGTGATCACGAGCAGTTTGTGAGTTTTCGTTGTAGTTTAGTAGCATCGATTCATATCGTTCCTTGTTTAGTTTACAAGATGCGCAACAACTTTGGGCTGTTGGTCGACGAGAGGACGATTCACACAAGTTAGTGTCCCTTACAAGGGAAATGAGCTTTATTCAACCTATGTGACGCGAAAATCTCAAAAGTGTTATGTCGAAGTATACTTTCATAGATGTTGAAGTCACAGCCAAGATATTAGCAGAATTTAGTGGGCCAACTAATTTGTTGCCTTCAGCGGAGCCTATGAAGTCATAGAAGGAGTGACCTTTCGCAGAAGGACATTTCAGACTCAAGGCTTGCTGACGTTAGACTAAAGGCGTCTAGAGAGGTCTCATAGCTCATAACTCAAGCCAGTCATATATCCTAAGATTAGTCGAATTACAAACGTAATGTAATTGTTATTCGACTAATCTTAGGATATATGACTGGCTTGAGTTGTATTTGTGAGTTACAAGACCTCCTCAGATGCCTTACTCCATGGAGAGTTAGTCTTGAGTCTGAAATGACATTCTGCGATAGGCCACACTTGTCTTTACTTTCCAGGCTGCGGTGAAGGCGACCATGTCACAGTAACCCATTACATTCTGTTTATATTTTGGTTGTGGTTTCAAGGACAGGAGGACACCCCACGCCATGTCAGAGTTCTTCGAAAGTCAGTAATGGATATTTCGCTGAAACTTTGTTCATGGGGACTATCCGGTACCATGAATGTGACGTTCACCCTCGGCGTCAGAGAATTTTTGCGTCGTCACACTTCCCAACAAATTAGTTTTGAACATGGATTTCGGTTCCTTTGACACAGCCAAAAATGATCTTTCCTCCAGACTTAGCTCTAGGTGTGACCGGATGGCCTGGGAGGATCCGTCTAGTTTTGCCGTGAGCCTCTCCCTGAATTAGTACCGTTATCGATAGTAAATACTTTATGCGTAATCAGAGTACCGAATAATTACCGAAGCCGGTGTTCCACACAAGAAAACTTTTTGAGACCTTGGAGTCGGAACAGTTGAATATTGCAAGCGGTCATAGCGATGATGGAAATTGGATACTTTTTAGGTATCTTATTGTATCGCGAACGCGCTCGTCACTCATTCTCGAATTGGGAGAGGACATGGTTGAACTGGAAGAGCCGTTGTTTCTTTCTGATGAACCTACGGTAGGCAGCAGGAGAACTTGCTGATGGTGGTCTTGCTGTTCAGGTCTGTTCGACTCCATTATCTTGAGAAGATAATTTTGTTTATTTTTTAAATCTTTGGGAATTTTGTTGTTTAGGTAACCTCTTTACGGGTGGCTTTGGTAGCAGAGGAACAACAGCTGCAACAAATAGATCTTGATTCGAATTTCCCTGTAGTAGCGGCCTCGATTGTCGACCCTTATGTTGCCCTCCTCACTCAGAATGGTCGTCTTATGCTTTACCAACTTGTGCTGATTCCCCATGTGCATCTCAAGGTAAGCTTGTTATCAGTTACTCTCGATGCCACATTGCGGCCAAAATTAGCCGGATAACTTGCAGGAAATCGACCTAACAAGTAGTGCGTTCGCCGAGAAGACCGTTCATCACCGAGCTCCCCTTACAGCACTGTCGATATATCGAGATATGAGCGGTTTGATGATCTTTTCAGATGGCGCTGACGACTTTTACGAAAGAAGATTTACTAAGCCAAAGAAGGTAATTAGAAATTGGTGTCTCCTTTCAGCTCTTCGGATACATCTGTTATAGAAGGCAGTGTCTCGTCGAGGCACAGGAGATTCTATCGATATTGATCTGTATGGTGAGGAAATTGTTCCGCAAATGCCGAGCGCAGTTGTTGACGAGGACGAGCTCCTTTATGGTGACTCGGGAGCAAGTAAGAAGGGTAGGTTCATGCTCCTTTTCCAGAATCTCCGTTTCACATAAAGAACTACCCCTACGATTGCATATTGTGGA